TCAATATATAAATTAGTTTTTCATGACTCACGAGACCGCCAGACAGAAATTTAAAACAAAAAACTTAGCATACCTGCTGAACCGGATGAGAGGAGAGATGGTCTTGGTTGGGGGATTGATAATAACCGCATTGGGATGGCGAGGGTATGACATCCTTTAAAGGAAACAAAATAAAATGAAGGAAAAGGACAGCATTAAGAGTGACAATAGAAGTATGATGACAGATAATGACTACTGAACAGAAAAATAACAATCACTGCATAAATACTTTATACACTGGCTCAAAAACAACGAATCTACTTTACATACTGTTATGACAATTGAGACCATTTCTGACACAGTAGCTAAAAATGTGGCAAAAATCACAAAGCATTTATCAGCTTATCAGTCAAATGGACTTCTCATCTAAAGGCATTGCAGCCATCGAAGTAGCTTCAGGATTAAGTTTGATGGTTTTCAGCATATTTCGGTACAGTTCAAAAAAGGTCCTCCTATTATGGATACATATCCGGAGCAACCTGAGAGGATTAAATTTGAGATACAAAGAAAGCCTACAAAAATGACAACTGACCTAGCGGTGAACGCGCAAAGTTCACTTTGAATGACGGAAAGTCCAGGCAAAAGTCGTCGAGGAACCTCAGAAGGGGAGCATAGCATTTCGTCCACAAAAGTCTCAACGCGCTTGCCTTAATTTCAAGAAATTGAATAAGAGCACTATGAAGAAAAAAGCATTAGCCTCGTCTCAAAAAAAATCATAACGACTTACAAACAAGTCTTCTGATAGCGTTATTTTCATCGGCAATGGCATGGATTTGCTCACGAAGCATTTTCTCCTGCTCCGCAGACATTTCGATGGCAATTTCAGAAGCACTCTTTCTCACCACGACAATACATTGTTCACAGACAGATTCCACAGTAGTTGCAAGAGTTCTAATGAAATTCATTTCTTTAGACACGATAAAACAGCACGATAAAACCAGCCCTTATACCATTATAAAAGCTCGACACAAACACTCACTTTTCCTCTATGTCATTAGTAATCACTATGAGTTGATCTTTGAGAGATCTCTTGAATCCGTCGCTTTCAGATATCTGTAAGAGTGTGATAAAATGATATTATAGACTAAATTTGAATAAAACTGAAAGAAGTATTGGGACAAAAATTTCTTCACAGGCTAAGAGCTATTCAGATGCAAGAGCATTTGGGCACAAAATCTCTAGGATGTGCTATAAAAT